GCGTAAGACAGGTTAGACGTAGGGGAAAGGTCGTACAGATGACTCCCCGAGTTCCCGGGAGTGAGGGGAGACCTAATCAACGGAGAGGGTACCCTCGGGTTGGCTTTAGTCACTCTCTGTGAGAAAGGGGAACCAGATCTGTCAGTTCCAGAGAAACGGAAGACGCCGTTTCCAGGTAAAAACTCCCCTAGCGTGGGAAGAGGTACTGAAATACTGGTCGGATTAGACTCCAAGCCAGAAAGAGTGTTTCCGCTGTCACAAAGACCGGCTGCATCCCGGAAGGAAAGGTCTCTGTAAGCCATCAGTTTATAAATTTCACGTTGCCTCTGGAAAACAGGGCAGCGGAGCTCAGATGCTTGATGGCCGGTGTTACCGGCCTTAGACCGGATGCAATTTATGTACTCATCAAGGACATTAGGGTAGTCTGGTTTAGCATGGCCAGACTTGCCGCACTTCTCACAAAACCTGCGTCGGTCGTCACCAGATTGCTTGCACGAATGTACAGTGTGACCAAACCTCTGACAGAACTCGCAACGCCTGACCTTATAAACATAGGGTGTTAGCGGGAGCCTTTTCCCCATGTACAGGCACGACCGCGGGACCACTGGGGTGCGGAATCGCAAAATGAACTGGTTGGTACTCACATACTTCGAGGTGGAAGTGGGATTTCCCCTTTCCCTGCGAGTAATCCTGACAGCCTCGAAGGGAGGAGTCCACTCCTGGTCCCACCCAGGAGGGGGGCGTAGGCCAGCAAGTAGCTCCTCAACTGTCTCCTCCTCGTCTACGCCTTTTACGACGAACTGTTTTACCACTCTAAATGACGGGACGTGCGCCGTCCACTGTTCATTAGGAGTCACTTTACCGGCGACATCTTGGAAAGCCCTCACGAACCGGTTGGCGTCCCCACCTGTGGGAAAGCAGACTGAGAATCTATTTCTACCAATGACGCGTATATCGAACGCATGCATGAATTGGTTTAAGAGGAGGCGGTTAAGCCTCTTGCCCAGGCCAATAGCACTGAGCGAGGACCCGTTTTTACCTGCACTTTGGTCTCTGGTGGACCCTGTACTTCCCGTTGAGGGAAGCTGTGACCGACACGTTTCAATATGGACCATAAACGGGCCATTGGAGTTCGTGTGGTACCTATTAAGTAACAACTGTCTTTGCCCGCTAGACAGTGTTGAAAACACACGCTTGGGAGGAGGGGTTAAACCCGCGCCGTCCCTTTTTTTGGAAGCCCTACTTCCAGAATCCTTAGAAGCGAGGGAGCTGGAAGGGACGTTTACTAAAGACACGCGGCAAGGGCCGCGATCGCCCCCAGGTACTGCCGCGAGAGCGGGGACCTAACTTACAGAAGAGGGGGTTATGTCCTCCTTAGGTGGGGGGCCCATCTCAAGCATATCAACGTCAGCTTCTTTGCTGGTCATTTTGTAAACACTCGCGTGACCGTTGCACTAGGTCCAAGAAGCAGAACACAGAAAGCCAATAAAAGTTTTACACCACTGCTAGGCTTACGAACAAGTTTTGACGAAACTAAACTTTTGTAGCTTGCTTTCAGAAAGGCAAGATGGCGTCGCCGGGGACGCAGCCACGGGGTGTTAACCCGTTAAGCCGCCCTTTGTCGTAAGAACGACAGATTTTATAAAACACTTTATCTCTTTCGCGCTAATCGACCCGAGTATTACCTGAGGCAGGAAATCCAAATGTTTTCGCCTGAATCACGAAAAATGAACAAAGGAACTAAGGACTGGAAGACACAAAGGACGTGGCTTGTGCGCAGTCTCAGAACGGAATCTTTGCTAGATTCGCATTAGTTTCCGAGATCTTAAGTAACAAAGATCCGCGAAGCATGCATCAAGCTAGCTGAAGCCAGTGTCACACTACGAATTGAGATTGGATTGAAATTTGACCAATCAGAAGAAAGAAAACCAATCCAAGTTTAGTGATTTTTGCTCTGATTGGCCAAATTGCAATCCAATTTCAATCCTAATTCGTAGTGTGACATAGGCTTTACGCGCGTAAGATTGGTCGGCGCGCTTCGCGCGTTCACGGTGTTACTCGTAGCAACGTATGAAAGAGCCGGCACAGGGGGCGGTGAACTCGCGTTTCCTCACTATTTGAGGGAGAGCAGCTCATTAGATTGTGTAGCGCAGGTAAATGCACTTACTTTGGGTTTGTGTTAATTTTGCGTATTGTAATATGCCGCTCGGCGGCTATTTTTTAAGTTATTTTCAGCGTGAAGAGACCAACACACTGTACGTGACCGGCAGGCAAAGAAAAGCGAGAAAGAGAAAAGAAAGAGACAGACAGTGATACAAGAGCGTAAGGTCCTCATACAAGGCACAAGAAGCTCGGCGATAATGTTGACGACGGACCAGAAAACAGGAGATACTAGTACTTCGACTCCGCAAAAACTGGAGCGGAGCTCCCTGTGAAGTTATCAACCCCGTGATGCAGGAAGATGAGCACGAGTAAGCTCATCTACAAAGGAAATTAAGCAGAATGGACCGATACGGCCAGAAAAGAGCCCGCGTCGATGCGTTGCCGATACACACGTGGCCGCTATCAATCATAGCGCCGCAAAAAAAAGAGTATGATTGGCTCATTAGATAGCGCGAAGAACAGCGCATGGCGAGAAGAGCAATTGCCAAAGGAGCCGAATTCATTGTTGCACGTACCGTCAACCCTGCGAGTTCACCGTCTCTTACGCATGTCGTGATGTCGGGATGTAAGACTGTGTGCCAAACAACATCCGAGGAAGACCTGCTAGGATGATCTCAAAAGGGAGAGCAGAATAGTTATCGGTTTGTGGAGAGTCGCTGGCAAACGTAAGTGTGGTTGGTTCTCTTCCGCACTTCTCGCGACCTATATTGTTCGTGAATTGAATCTCGAAGAGCTATCCCGCGAGTTCGATATCGCGCGATATGTTGCCGAAAATATAGTATATTGCGGTTTGCGTTTGTTAAAAATAAGAATAATTATCTTTATTTGCCGCTGCTCTTGTCCCGATCAGTCGCGGTTGCAACAATCCGGGCTTATCTTGTCTCGTCATTCGTGTATGTCGTGTTTTCATTTTTTGTTGTTGTTTGCGTCAATCTCTTCCGTTCGTTATAGTCTCTCTCGCGTGTAATTCTGAAATATCGAATAGCATATCTTTGTACTTTTCCGAATATCGACTAAGAAATTGTGAATATTGCCGAAAATTTGTGACCGACATATGTAACATTTTACCGCGCTCTTTTACCGTATGTATTGTTTTTTTGTTTCATTCTTTTGTCTGTACTGCCGATATCAATTCTGGCTTGCGACCGGTCAGATTCACAAGGGAAGTGACGCAAGTATCCTTCTCCGATTTTGATAAGCTTTGAATATGTTGTAAAGTAGCTAAAAATAAGAGACCCGTATTTTTTTATGTGCTTTCTTGCACGTTTGGGGAGTGATACACCCCTTCGAAAAAAACCAGTTTTTTTATTTTATGCGACTATCATCAAAACGGTAAGAAATATAAAAAAATGTTTCAAATAAAAGTTGCATAGTATTTTATAGGCTTTACAACCGCGTAGTTGGATTTATTTTTCATTTAAATTTTTTTATTTACCTCCACCTGTAATTTTTTTCAATTTTCAAAATTTTTGTAAGGAAACATTGTAGCATTTTTTACGCTGAATTCAACCATATATGATTTTCTTATGTTTCAAAATCGCATTTTTCATAAATAAACCATCAATATCGTATTATATGCGTCGCGCTGCATGACTCATCATTTATATCGCGCTTTAATCGTAATAGGCGATACAAAAATTAAAGAATGAAAATAGTTACGTCGTCACGTATTGGATAAAGTTCTAATCACAGAGCAAAGAGCAAAGTTTAAAAGCGTTGCTAAGACACATCCCTTCCACTGATGCGTTATATTTTACTTATTCTATAATTGTTGTAGATGTTCCATCGCCAGTTGCGCAACGCCCAAGTGCAACTGAAAATAGCACTGTTCCTCTAGTTGTCATCTGTTGCTATGACTCATTGTAGAATGGCTTATATTAATAATCATCGTTCGCAGCGCGTCATATTCAAGTTAGCTATCGTATATTATGCTTGGAAGTTTGGTTTATTATATAGTGACTGTGGAAAAATAATATGTAAAAAGATAATAGTGAGTACGAAATAGTGAGTAAATTCTGACTATTGATTTGATTATATCCAAGATATTTGACTTGACAAATATACAAATATATGTATCTTTCAAATTACAAAGCTGCAACATAATAGTAATAATTCATAAATTAATGAACACAAAAAAAATAACACAAGTAAATTTACTAAACTATAAAGTAAGTATTATTCTTCTTGTACACAAATAAAGTTTAAAACAATATTTATTTATATTTAGTATTTATTTAAAAAACCGGTTTTTGTCGAAGGAGTGTATCACTCCCCAAACGTGCAAGAAAGCACATAAAAACATACGGGTCTCTTATTTTTAGCTACTTCCCAGCAAACACAAAATATAACTGCTATATAACAGGGGAGTAACAAATATAATATAACATTTGTTATACTTGATTTATATTGAGATTATATAATTTTCTCTTATTCATGCAATATAACTCTGTAATAAAATAATTATATATCCCAGCAAACACAAAATATAACTGCTATATAACATGAGAGTAACACATACTATAGCAGTTGTTATACTTGATTATATTAAGATTATATAATTTTCTCTTGTTTATGCAATATAACTTTGTAATGAAATAATTATATAGTCCGTTACTTACTGGCAACAATAATGTAAATGTAATGTAACATGTTATATATGACAAGTTTTACGTCTGCGTTACTGTAATGTGACAAAATTTATATAGATATGAATTTATTGATGAACAGAATTTGAAAATCTTATTTAAAAAGAAAAAAGTATGTATAGTTGTAGAAATATATATAAGTGAAAATAGTGTGATATCTGTAGTACAAACTAGTGTAGAAAGTGTAATGAAAAAGAACAGACTTGTGATGATTTTATGAACACAGCGCGTCAAGAATTTGCAAAGGACTAGCGAAGGTCTAAGAACAAAAGCAGCGGTTTTCCTAACAGTAAGTAGTTAGTTAATTGATACAATTATGGACAAGCAATTGCTACAGTTAATTGGTTCGTTCGTTAATGCTATTTATTTCCAGGAAAAACGCCCCTCTTGTCCTTAAAACCCGGCGCCAACTCTGCAAAATTTTGACATGCTGTGAACATACAATTCTACTATTCCATCCAAGCATTCCCAGCAACATGGCGATATGGCAATGCNAGGTAATTCTTATTAATTTTAATTGAAGTTTATGTTTAATGTGTAACCAAACTATTACAAATAATTATAATTTTCATTATGTTGCAGTAATTTCTTTCGAGCAACAAAAATTTATTAAATATATCAAAAGAAAGAGAGCGCATTACGATTAGGTTAGGGTAAGCTTGAAATAAAATTGAATATTTTTATTCTAAGTGGAGAAGTAGTAGGCTAGTTTTGTTAACTAACTTGCTTTTTGTTGTA